TTCTTTGAAATGTAAAATTCAATTGAAACTTTTGTTGCAATTAAGTATATACATACTTATAGCAAATTAAATTGAAAGAAAAATACATGTCAAATGTGAAATTTTCTAGAGACATAGTATGAAGCCAGGATACAATCAGATATGTCTAAATGGCATGGTATCCAAGCACTCCTAGGAAGCTTTTGTTCAGTTTAAACTAATTTTGTTGATATTCTAACATCATGAGTCCAAACATGAGGATAAAATCATAATTAACAGTATTTTTATGATTCATACAAGGAAGTAACTTGAAAACATGTCTGAAGATTCATCTTTTAAGCTTTAAGAATTATAAATTAATTCAATTTAGTTATGTAAACATGTTAAATTCCGAAAAATAAACTCGTTGATATATAAAGAAAACGAGTGTGGCTGTTAAGTGGACACTTAAGGCGCTGGTACTTACTTCCTGTATTTTGTTTTGATTTAATTACAAGTGCCCTCCCTTACTAATGTGCAGATCTATTGTTTATATCTATACACACAGAAGCTGTGTCATACACTACAGATGTATTATAGTCATATAAATTATTAATGTTATGCATGAAAAATAATAAGGTTGAGTAGTAATACTAGTATTTTGTAAGTTGTAGCGGATTAAGTGTCAACCTTGTGAGGAAATTGGCAGTTGATATTGTTGGCCAAGACTAAATAGATATGTTTGTTGTATGATGTTATTACTTTATGTAGCAACCCCACACTAATTTTTTTATTTTATTGTATTTATAAACAATTTATTTCATCTTATAGTGCTCATTATAAGCATTTCAGAACAGTTTTCCTTTTCTAAATATCTTTAAAAATAAAAAAGTTATGGCATTTAATAATGTTGAAATTTGCGCATTTTTTAAGAATTTTTACTATATACAGTCAATAAGAAATGCTTGCGCGTTGACGGAACCGAAATGACTTCGTTTATGACAAATTTCACATTTAAAATACCATAACTTTTTTATTATTTGAGATATTTTGATGAAATTTGGAATATAGGTAGATTAGTGTTACTGAATATAACTGGGTTATTTTACAGACCATTAAATGTAGAAGAGCAATTACTAAGTCTAATACAGTGGGCAAGGTATCGATAAATTTTTTGAAAAAATTTATTCATTTTTCATTTATCGACATATATAAAGTAACAAGAAACTACAGCAGCACTGTATAATGAAATCCAACATGAATGTATATCAAATTGCTCTACAGCATCTGCAATGTCATGCTTTTATCTTTTTTTTTTCTCAAAAAATAATTATTCACTTCTTTTGCAGTTAGTAAATAACTCTCTTCTTCCAGAACTCCCGCAGTCTCGAATTATAGCAGTATATTTAAATTGAACATAAGTCAAACAGCCCGAAATTCCTCACTAGACCAAAAGAAATGAAATTGATTTGATTTGCTATTAATTGAGATCAAAATTAAGAATGTTTTTCATTGCTAACATAAATTGATGCACCTGGATATCAGTTGTCTTTGTCAAGAGCTCTATAATATCAATATGATTTATTTTGCCGATAAATGCCAGTCGGTAGGACATAATTGTTTAAATAAATTAATGTAATTTATAAGGATCTGCTTCTCCCATTTTCCAGATTTGTTTTAAAAGGAGTCTTCTTCATCTTGAACCATTTTCTTTGAAATTAGTTGACTTCATTTCATCGGATTTCAATGAATAAGCATACATCTCGGCAATTAAACATACTTCTACATTACAATTTTGGGGCAGTTCTTGCAATGATTGGTAATGTATACTGTTATCATATATTTTGCAGATAAATGCCAGTTGGTATCATATACTTTTTAAATGCTATTGAAGGATCTGCTTCTCCCCTTTTCCAGATTGTTTTTAAAGGAGTTTCATCTTTAGCCATTTTCTTTGAAATTAGTCGACTCCATTTCTTAAGATAGCTGATTTGGGATTTCAATGAATATAAAGCAGACATCTCAGCATCCCCATTAACAATTTTGGGACAGTTCTTGTTGTGTTTGGTAATGTATACTACTATATGACAAGATTTATTCATTAACAGCATTGGTTTGTCATCTTATATTTGTCCAAATGATCCAAGTGTTGTCAAATATTGTCATCATCAATATTATTTCATGATATTTTTTTTTTTGTCAGGTCGGTCATGCACCTGGAAAAAAATAAAGTATAAAGTTAGTAATTATAATAAATCATACATGAATTAAAAAGAAATGCTGGCAAAATAAGTTTAAATACATTGTTTAAAAATATTATTTATCCTATATATATATGCGTAGAGGTTAACAGATTTTAACTGTCACTGGCAGCAGGTCGACCCTGCATTCACCATGTAAATTGCTCATTAGAAATAAATTTCTGCTTTAATTAATTATAAAACCGTAAAAAATTAATTTAATATTTAATAAAAAATGATTTCCTTGTTAAATATACGATATCTCATTGAAACCTGAAGCATCGGTAAAAAAAAACAAAAAAAATTAGAATTTGAAAATTGGCCGAAACTGAGCAGGTGCCCGCCGAAACATATATCTCAATTTTAAAGACAAATGCGCTAATATTGAAAAAAATAATTATATATTGATATATTTTATTATAAACCAAGACTTTATCTACCATAATTTTATTTTGTTACTCGTTTATACGTGATAAATCAGTAATGGAAATAATCGGATTACACCGCGTCGGTGAATTCAAAATGGCGGACTCTGATGGACTGTTGAATTTCCACAACTCGCTGTATTTAATCGTAGATGCGGGTGCTTTAATGGCAACATAATTTTATGATTTATGAATCATTTTAAAGATAATTCAATTTATTTTCCAGAACACTATTCGTTTTTCTTCACTTACCGATAGTTTTCAAGCAAATCGTCGGCGAGTATCGGGCGTCATAACTTTTTTGTTTGAAAACATATTTAAATGACGAAAATTCCGCGGTGAAATGTAAACATATTTCTGATTGGTTGCAAAAAATCATGAATATTAATTAGCAACAAATGACCCGCAAATAAGGTCATGCGGCATACATGTGACAAGCGCGTGTCCACAATCGGGTTTTGTAAAATCGGCCGAAAATACACCTGTATATTAAGATTAACTGATAATGATTAAAATGCATATTATGCATGAATAATGAATTTTATATCATTTTGAAGACAATTTATCACTGATTTATTTCATATAACTTTTATAATGGTCAATATTAAAATTTATTGTTTTACAATCAATTTTATGAACACACTATCGATTTTTACGCTAATTTCTTAAGCTGTAGGCTTATCAGTTGGGGTTGCTACTTTATGTCACATATGGGTTTTCTTCTCAATAATGGTAAATTTAGCCAACAGTTCTCTTACGGGCCGGGGAAGGGACATTTCCTTTAAATTTTGGAGGAAATATCACATTGTTTGCATAAGTGGGAGAAAAAACTATTGTTGAAAATGAATTTTAGGAGGAAAAGTGTATTTATTTTTTGGGGAAAGCAGTCCTTTTGCAGCCCCTGCTATAAAAGGGAAAATATGCCCTGCAGCTTTGGTTGTTCTCTTGATTCAGTTTCATTTGTAAGAAGATGGCACATGATGCTGTACATGTATCAGGCAACATAGTTTATCTGAATTTCCCTTCAATATATATCAAAATACTAACAGGTCAGGCTAGCAAGTGAGTTACTGATAAATTACCTTTGACTGCAGTAGTCAGTATGAATAACTTTTGATCCTGATCTTTTTAACACATTTGATCCTGATCTTTCTAAAACTTTTGATCCTGTTCTTTCTATAATTTCTCATTTTAAACATAAATATATACTGCTGACTTTTCAATAAATTAACCTTTATTGTACCTTTAATCAAATTATTTTTTGTATACTTTCAGTCATGGCACAAAGGATGTTTCAAATGTCAGGTGTGCAACATGACACTAAATATGAAAAACTACAAGGGCTATGACAAACTGCCATATTGCAATGCGTAAGTATACATTACATGTTAGCAAGGGTCTTTTTCCAGTACGTAAGTAAACATTACATATCAGCAAGGGTGATTTTGCTGTAAGCAAGACTGATTTTAGACTTTTGGATTTGGAGCACAACATGTGTTCCTATGTTCACATGAATGATAACGGTTGGTATGACATGATAATGTCAATGAAGTCTCATCATAAGCTTCTTTTGGATATGAATACGGAAGCAAATCTGGGATGAAAATTAGATTTTATAATAAAAGCATTTCAAAGTACTAACAGAAGTACTTAAATAATGAATAAATCAACTCAGAAAATTGTGATTTTTTTAGTAAAACTTGCAATAAGACAAAATGCCAATTTTCCTTATCCCTTTGCCCAATTTTAATTTGTTTATAGTTTAATTTTTAATTCAATTGTGTAGGAAGCTATATGCTGGAACCAACAAGTACTTAGCATAAGCAATGAGTGTAAAAATTCCTACTCAAGGTAAAAATGGCTTGCTATTGATGGGGTTTGAACCCACTGTCTATCATCAAAGGTTTGCCCTCTATGGTAAGAGGTACTTGTAATATTTGATAACACATGTAGCAGAATTAAGAATGCTCTCTTACTTCTAACTTGAGTGGTGTATTTATTTCTGATTACAGACATTATCCACAGACAAAACACACAGCTGTAGCTGACACACCCGAGTCCAGAAGAATAGCAGAAAATACAAAAATACAAAGTAATGTAAGTATCAGACAGTGATTTTACACCTTAAATAACACACCTTATATAACAGAGGCCTATAAAGGGCTTCTTCCCAATAGGAATTTTCTTTAAAATCATGCAATTTTCCCAAAAATTCAAAGTTTCACCTAATTTTTTACGTTCGAGTACAGCAATATTAGCGATCATTCTTCCCAAAGTCAAGAGGCTTAGGCCTTGTTTCAATAAAAATTTTAAGAAATTATTGTGATGAATAGGCTTGTCCTGTTTGAATCTGACCATTTTAAGGATATAAAAGTCATTTTGAGGTTGGTCAAGCAGACTGCTTGAAAGTGCTGATTGGCTGAACATTATACTGGTAGTAAATGTAAGGGCCAGTTTTGCTCAGGTAACTGAGTGCTCGCAACAATATTGGTATTTAATTATCAATAAAAAAAACCCTGCCTACATTAGAATATTTTGTAGAACCATCATAAGCCTTCAATTTCATTATAAACTACTCATCAGCCAGAACTTATACTGTATGTTAAGTGGTGGCAAATGAAGTTTTCATCCATCTTGTAGGTGTTAAACTAGAAGTTCTACTTGCATTTATTCAAGTGCTATGCATTAAAACAGATGGTGAGAAGTGGATTTATGTTCTTAACAAAAATATTACGAAAATTTTATTTTTTTAAAACAAACCCTCTATGATTAATATGTTTTCAAGAAAAAAGTTGGTAGAGAAATAAGGAAAATTTAAGTTGAATTAGTTTTAATATTCAAGAATAAGCAAAGTTTTGGTTTATTGATGATGTAAAAATAGTTGAATAGTTACTGAAAATTGATTATTGATTTATTGTAAGTCAACTTTAGGCATTCTTTAATCAGTGTCTATTCTAGGATGGGGGGGGGGGGATCACTCCCATTTTTGAGAATTCCCCCCTATTTTTTTAGAGGCCTGAGGAAAATTTTACATAGAGAAAGAAGGAAAAAGATCAACAAATTTAATAAATTTTTATTTTGTTAAAAATCCCCCCTGTTTTTGGAATCCTAGAATAGACACTGCTTAAATGCACATGTTGTTTTTGGGTTTATTCTTTATAACTAGAGGAAGTTTTTGTGGCTTGGTTTGTTAAGTATTATCAACCGCTGATTGTTTGAATCCCACAAGGAGTGAATGTGAGGAAGCTGCCTTAGATAGATTACAATACAAGGCCAGTGGTTCTACTCTAGTGCATCAGGGATCTTATTATACAAGTAAACCCGGAAAATAGCGATGTGACTTAGAGGTTCATTAAAACTAAAAAATCTAATGAAAGGAAAATCTAAAAAAGGCTACTCTGACACGGTGTTTTCTTTAAACAACAACAACAAAAGACACACACAAAAACACTTGCATTTTCCCTTTATATTTTATTGAAGCACAATTGTTTTGTAATAAAAGTTATCAGTGTCTGTTTGGAAACAAGATAAATATAAAAAATACATTTTTCCCCACTTAATAACTATTAATTTATTATGACTATCCCGGGAATAGCAGTGGTGTTTGGCATGTTTGTCAAAATCATTGATTGCATAATGTCATGTGGCCATGTGTCTGTTGAGTACATCACTGTTTATTTATAGCTAATGCAAACAGAAAATTGGAAATGACCATAATGCATTTTGTTGATTAGATTTTGCAGAGCAATGCTCTAATTTCAGTATACTGTTATGAATATATGAAGTTATTATTGTTGTGGCATGCAAGGTATTTATAATTTATAGTCACATCATGAAATCATTATTGATATTGTATGGTAGACTTTTTGAAGGGAAATTTTGAATTATGTCACTCAACAAGATTGTTTATCAAAGCTTGGATCATTTGTGAACTTGTTGCCAGAGTTGAACCCAGTGTATTTACATCCAATCCAACATGAATGTCCATGCAGTCATCTAAATTGTTGGTTTTTAGTCCCCCAATGGTTTAACTGGAGGAGACTTTATGTTTACTCTCTGTCCATCAGTCAGTCTGTCTGTCTGCCAAAACTGGTTCTTAATTGTAAAAATATGAAATGTAAAGATCCTAATTAAAAACAATATTACGTCAATTTTCTCTTCACTCTTCACTACAGAGTTTAAAATCTAATTATATTTCCCATCTTACTTGAAGTTTTGATTGAGTAATGATACCAGAAAATCTGTTTAAGAGCTAAGAAATGTGATGGTGCTCACAAGTTGACCAATATTGCCAAATAATGCCTTCATTATTCCTTCATGCATTTCTTTCTTTCAGTCCTGTATATAAAGGTTGAGCTATTTATAAGGAAATAATTTGACTTTAGCCTTAAATGATTTTGATAGATGTTTTTAAAATTCTGTCAAGTGTGTTTGAGTATGCTTTCCTGCACTTTTGGAAGCTTAAGGATTTACGAATGAGCTACTTTGTCAAGTAGTATTGTCAGTGGTTAGAGTTGTTATAGTCAATAGAATGTCCTCACCATTGGAATGATACAAACCTGTTTTGAGGCAGGCCAAAATGTATTGAAGACTGTCATTTTAGTCTCCAGCTTCTCATTAACATCAACCCTGGGGTCCATTTAAGAAATTCAGCTGATTAAGTTCAAAGGGTAATATAAAAGCAATGATAGGACCTGTAATAGTGACGTCAGTGAATTATCCATAGTATTATTGAGTACTTGATCACACAAGAAATGGTGAACGCAAAGTAAAAAATTGTATTCAATGCTTGTTTGTTAATAATTATGTTTGTTTAAAGAGGGTAGTATAAAGTTGGTGTAAGTAAATTGACTGGAAGGTTGATGAATTTGACAGATAGAGTACCGCAGGGAGTTTGAGGAGAGCAAATCTCGATATTACCAGGTCACCGATACCCCGGAGATGAAAACCAACCTCCGAAACACGCAAAATATTAGTATGGTAAAAGTGTTGATTTGCCATATCCTAATACTTCTAACTGCCGCCAGTTTGTTATAGTGTGTGTGGTTCCACACCTTTTGTTCCCCATGTTCCACAATCAGCAAAGCAGAGTTTAAATTTATTTGATATTTTCCTTTTATGTTATACATGTCAGTTCTGCTGCACACATTCTGCTGCCATTGAACCAATTGATAAACTTTTTGTATGCTTTAAATGAATATGGCTTAAAAACCAAGCTTTTTTGAAATAGATAGCTTTCTTCTTTTTTGCGGTCTTATGAAAAAGGTTGCCTTGATCCTGTCAGTGAGAATAGTTCAGATACCAAATTTCTCATTACAAAAATTAGTCCAAATATATTTTGATTTAGTTCCTCACCAACCTTTCAGGATGATGCCTTTTCTCTAAATGATAATGGTTTTAAAATACCTTTACTTACCTATTTCAGAATGATTTGTCCCTTCATGAATTTTGTTGTATGTTATTTACTACAGGGCATGAAAAGTTTTACCAATATGTCTTGTTTTCACTATAAACGCTAGCTATAAAATTTTATAATAAGGTATATACTAGTATTATCCTATCCACGTTCCTTCGAGACATAAATTAAGAAAACTTAAACGCAACATTATTTATGGTCACACTTTTTCTTTGTTACCAGTTTAATCCTTTAAGGTGCAAAGCAAACATCTCTTGTTCTGTGTGAAGTTGTTTTACTGCAGAAAGATGTACCAGTAACGGAAATTAATTAAAGTTGGTCATTACTGGTTAGTTATCCAGGAAAGTCTGTTGTGTCAGCTGCTGAGATATGGCCCAGAAATATGTTAAAATTGTTGTTAAAACCAGAAAACAAACAATCTTGGTTGGTACTGGTTTACCTGGGTAGATACTGTAGCCACCAGCTAGCTAACTAATTACAATGTAAGTTAAGGTTAACACTACCAAGCTAAAAAACAAAAACAAAAAAACAAGAGTTCTTATGTGATAATGATCAGCTGATGTTCAAGATAAAAAAAAACAGCCCACATGATTAAACAAGGACGTTACATAGCTATAAACAGGGCTCCAGATAATTTTTTAGGGCAATGAGTATTTACTCATTGATTTTTTTGTGAATGAGTAAAACTTGAAATCTGAAATTTGGCAGGAGTATTTTTACTCCTTAAAATGTATGTGAAAGAGTAAAACATTTATTATGCTTCCATGTTTACAGTCTTCGCCTTAACTTTTTATCAGCACTAGCCCAGTCGGGCTAGCAGCTTACAAATTTCACTAGCCCTAACACATTTTAACTAGCCCGAACCAAAATGGTATTTTTTGCATACATTTTGTACAAAAATAACACTTTCTTTATGTTTTATATACCATTTAACATTATTAAGATATCAACTTATTGTCCACAGACACTGGAAAAAATTGTTAAAAACTGAAAATACTCTTCTCCTCGTTTACTGTAACCATGTCTGCTGATACATGCATTGACAACAAATTTATATTCCTTTTCATATTACTTTTTTTTTTTTTTTGGTGTGTTCCTTTTTTGGCTTAGTGCCTTCAATATACAAGGGAAAAGACATATTGTGAAGCATGAGATGACACCTAATAAATGTCTAACAATTAATAATATTTCATAAGCGTTTTAAGTTCAATAAATCTGCTAATAATTTTTAGGGCCAAGGTGGTTTACCCATCAAAATCTAGAGTAAAATGAAAATTCTAGGGTAAATTTTACAAAAAGAATTTGCATCGTTTTGTTATCAAATTTCACTGCCTTCTAAAAAGTTCCTTTCTTTACATAAATCAGACTGACTTATATAATAAAATATTGATTCAATGTGAAATAATACAAAACTTGCTCTGTTAAGGCAAGCTTCCCTAGACTAGGGTTTGTTAAGGTTACACAGCAAATTAATGACAAGACTCATTTTTCTGTTGCTGACATGTTATTGTTTGAATGTGTCACATTCTTTTACAATCAGCTACATGGTCAGCATGAGGCTTTATTCATACTCTATTTCTACAGACTACATTTTAGTGCTGTTCTTTGGTTTTGATTATTTATAATTGAAATTAGAATTAATGAAAACTAAATATAATAAAATTAAAACTTTTATACACAAAGAATTAGTCTTTGAGGAAATTGTCCGTAACTGTAAACTTGGTACGAAAATATTGAGTACAAAACTGCAGGTGGCAAGGGAGAAATCTGTTTTTCAATAACTAAAGTGGCATGTACAACAATTTTCTTTATTTTGTGGCAAAAACATTATAATATATGTCTAAACAAATTGAATATTAGGTTAAGTCCTACGATGATTACACCAAATTTAACTTTATCAATAATTTCATTTAAGAAACTCCCAAGAGTTACCTTCCCTTTTTACTTGATGTCACTTCCTGCTACTTTCGTTTTCAACTAAAAGCAGTGCTTTTAGTTTTCCATCCAATTCAGCAGAAATATTTTGAATTTTCATAAAGCCAAAACATTGCTATCTGGAGCTCTGCATATTTCTAACATTTTCTTAATTTGGATATGAAAAAAGCCCTAGACCAGACGGGCTACCAGCTTGGAATTTTCACTCGACCACCCGCAAATTTACTCGACTCGGTCGTCAGTCGAATGGGTTAAGTCGAAGACTGGTTTATTGCATTATCATACTTGTAATACAAGTTATGTCGAAGTAATTTCTTTTGCTTTTTGGACGCCCTTGGTTTACAATCATGCATTTCCAAACGGCATACATTTTATCTGAACCTGAGACATGCTTCTGTTGCTCATACGAGGCAGCGCTAATTATTTCATTAATTATAACCTTTACCGATTTTTTTCGGCATAAAATACGAGTCAATCGTTTTAACTTTTGACAGCGACATTGTACCGGATGTTTATGAAATTGTGTTAATTCCACCACCTTACTATACATACGATAACATCCGATGATAGTCGGAACTACAGGAAGTTTCCGTTAGACGTTGCAAAGCATTCATACAAAGTTAATTCCACCACCATGCTATACATACGATAACAACCGATGATGGTCGGAACTACAGGAAGTTACTGGTAGACGCTTGCAAAGCGTTCAGACGAAATTAAAAATAAGATAAGAAAGTTTACTTTCGGTTACGTTTACGCGAAAGAAATGTTGCTCAATGCGTAACCTGAATTTTGTGTGCGTTTTCATACGCTTAAATTTTGTTTTGAATGCGTTAACATGTTATTTCCATGCGTAATTTACGCGTATACGCATCTTATCTGGAGCCCTGGCTATAAAGCTACTGTCACTGAAAGTATACTAAATATTTATTGTTTGTGCAAGTTAGCTTAACATGTCAAGTGTTTATATACAAATAAAACACTCTAGAGTTATGACAATGTGTTTTTTTTGTCTGGCTTATAGTCATGTAAAAATTTACTAAAAAAGACATTTGATGCTTCCCTCCTTTGCACACTGTGTTGGTAGTAAGCTAAGTAAAGTGGTTTTATATGAAAAATATTATAAATTATAAGCATAAAATAAATAAATAAATAAGATTTTGGCAAACTTTATTCCCCTATTTATTTCTATATACTTGTAATGAGAATTAAGTACATTTGATTGTGTGCCTGTACTTTGAATCTGTCTTTGTTTCTTTCATGAGACTGATTCTTTCAACTTAACCTATAATCTGATGGAATTGAAAAATAATTAGTCTTTGTCACCAGTATAGAGCCATTAACCAGTCTGAACATCCATGTAGACTGGTAGCTGAATTTTTGTAATCACTTGAATTTTGAATGGATTGTTCCAAATTTAAAGCAAAGCAAATCCATTAAACAATTTAACAGGTTTAAGGGGTTGAACAAGAAAGTTCCTACTATTAGTGTAGATTTCGATGCAAAAACCTATTGAATCAAAGTAAAATTATAAAAAATCTTGTAATATTTTCATTTAGATCAAATACCATGCTGAATATGAGAAACAGAAGGGTAAGAAAATCACGGTGGCAGACGATCCAGAAACCCAGCGTGTACGTCACAACATGGACGTGATTAGCAACGTCAGTTACCATGGTGATAGAGAAAGAAGGAACCAGATGGAGATGGCAAGGCCTGCTGAGCAAGTTGAAGGTAAATTATTTTTTTGGTTTGAAAATATTTCCCTAAACAGAGAGGTTTAATGGGTGGATGAAAACTTTAATGGAATGCTGGAGACCCATATTTAACGCTGGTATTGTTTTATTTTAAAGCAAATGGTAATATATTTTTAAAGCTAGATGTATGCTTAAATTTGATTTGTTAATTGTTAACTTAATTTTGTTTTAAGTTTTGTTTATTTTTTTGTTTCATTAAAATTATCCCTGGACCTACCATTGAAATATTAATATTTTACTGTTGTATTTTTCTGTTACAATCAAATGATATCACAAAATACAGTTTTGCTGTTTAGATTTAAACACTCACATTATTTAAGTACCGTTTTCTGTTGTCGAGTGATTTTACAATGAAGAAGCTTTTGAATAAAGATTTTCTTAATTTGAAGCAATTTTCTAAATTTGTAGCACCTTACATATCAAAAACAATCCATTTTCTAATTATATCCAAATGAAATTTATCTTTTTATGAATTAGTTAAAATAGATTTTTTGAAATGCAATGTAGCGTTATTATCACCAAATTCATTGCTTGATTTTACTTAAGTTCATGAACTTGCTGTTAATGTCAGAAAGCTATCTTAATTTATTAAGATAATGGTGGACAATGAAGATTTTTATATATGATTAATTGGAATATCAATAAAAGTCTCTGTTGTTGTTAACATTGTTTCTATGTTGTGTTTCCTCTTTGTGTTCTAATGACTGGAGAGTTAAATGTTTATACGGTATATTCTCTATATATAATATCCCCAGGGGTGTTAAATTTTCCAAAAGGGGAGTGTTTATTATGTAGTACCGAAAAAAAAGAAGAAATATTTATCATCAAAATAAAAAAAAATGTTTTATAATTTTTTTGAGCTATTTTCCTGCAGATTATTTGTACTTAAAGTTAAAATTTCAGCTAATTTTCTTGGATTTATAAAAAAATTCTATCATCATGATATAAACCCAGTTCTCTTTTCTTTTTCTTAAAAAAAGGGGAGGGGCTGTTTATTAGAGAATATACGTTATATGTATAAGATTGTTAACACTGCATGTTGGATCGTTATTCATGAAATGTAGGTCAGTACGGGCAACAACAATCACAATCAGGGAGACGAACGTCGGATTCGGCGCAGGTTTGTGATTGATTATAGGGGCTATAGCATCATTAACTGTCTCTTATTTTATCCCTCATACAGTAATATTATATTCTATATGCTTCCAATGTTTATAGAAAAAATATAAACATTCAGTGTTCAAGCTAGAAATGGAGAAATGCTTTTTACCAAAAACCTCTGTGTTCCTATTTTGAAATATTTTTTAAAAAGACTGAATCATTGTCAAATAAAAATTTGACATAGAATATATTTATCTTTAAAATCTCTGTATTTCTAGCTTGGGACATTTATGATATTGCCTATAATTATACATTATTCTACACTACAGGTGTATAGGTTAAAGTAACTGTACATTTTAACACCAGGGATTCATGAAATTAACAAGAGCTTTTTACAGTGGTTTTTTTTGGAAATTTCAGCATTGCTGGTTGCAGGAGTCATTTTAATTAACCCATGACTAACATCATAAAAAAACAAATTTCATTGAAACTTTAACAAATTAAAATTTTTGTTTTGTCCCTACAGTACTTCAATGCACTTTAGTATACAAACAATAATATCTTTAAGCAGAGGACAGTATAGGAAAGATTTGGGAACTAACTATGGTCACATCAGTTTGACTAGACAGTGCAAAAAATCTGAACTTTCAAAAGTTTTAGTCAATCATCAAAACTGGACCTGCATTGTGCATCAGACAGTTAAAGCCAAACAATTGTTTGTGCCCGAACCTTGCAATAATTAGAGCCATGTCAAACTGTGTCATAACCAGGTTGTGCAGACTGGCCTGGCTCTGCACTATTGGCATCAGGCTGGTATTATCACTAATTTCGCTCAATGATCAATATTAACCTACTTTATCTGATTTGACATAGACATGATTTTTTTGTGTGTTTTGAAGTGATTTTTTAGAAGCAAATTGTTGTTTTCTTGTTCATAGCACCTGGTTTGGCGGGTTATGTTTTGACTTTAAAGATTAAGTGAAATGTGTGTCTTATAATGTGTGTGTGTACTTCTTATAATGTTAAGAAAATATTTCAGTTTAAATTTTAGAGGCACATACTTGTTAGATTATTTAGATTCAACAAGTTTTTCAAGGGGCAATTCCAGGAGTCTTAATTAAAGTAAAAAAGGCTATTATCTGATATGGCTGTAACTTTGTTCACTATGTGTGATTACTAGTATTATTGATTGTATTAATGTACAGTTACTTGTTTTCTAACTTTGCTTGCAGTTTTATAACATATTCAGGTTTCTTTCCCATATCTTGTGCTTTACTGATTTATGTAGGTTTTAGAAAGATTTCCCAGATTTCTGATGATTCATCAAACATTTATCCTCAACATGTATTATTGATTAGTTTGAATAATATATGTTACCTAAGGATTTTTTTGTTTATTACTATAACCATATTAGGATGTTTATCAATTATTGATTAATATAATTATAGGATTTGCAATGCAACAATAGGATGTTTATCATTATTGATTAATATAATTCTACGATTTGCACTATTAATGATTAATACAACCATGGGATATTAATTTTATCATTATTGATTAATATAAATTAATCAGTGGCTTTATACTATCATCAGTTAAAATAACATATGCAATATAATCCTAGACAGGAAATTACTTATTATTGTTTCATATGTAGTATAAATTACAGTGCTTCTAATTCCAACATTAATATTATATTTTGTATTATTCAAATTAATAATCATGTTAAGTACAAATAAATTATAGTCTATGTAAGAAAGTTGTGTGCTTTGAAGAAATTTTTGAGATTGTAATGTAAATTTTTTCTTAAAAATATTTTATGATATTACTATATAATCCAGTGTCCATCCTGGACAGATGCTTGACATAAATGTCTTTTGATGTGAGTGAAAAACTAGCTAGTGAAGACAAGCTAGAGTTAGAATTCTTTACATTTCTTATTTCTAACCATTTTCTTCTGTCTTCATTAGCACAAAATATTGTCCGGAACATAAAAGATGGTATGTAGATCTATTACATAGTGAGTAAGACATGAGCATGGCTGTACAATCTTGTTGAGATGGAGTAAATGTTTGTTGCCATTGACTGTGTTTAGGGATTTTTACAGTAGAATTTAGGTCCATGGTGAAAATGTTGAATACCAGTCTAAAACCCATGTTTCTGATTGGTTGAGTGTAGTCACATGTTTGAAATTCTTGTTTCTAATTGGTTATTTTAAGTCACATGTTTGACATTGACCAATGGTAGTGTTATGTGTCTAGACTGGTTAATAATTCATGTTTTAACACTTTGGACCTGCTTTAATTGGGAAATGGAGTATATTTGTCAGTGGCATTTATGTTTAGGGGTGATATCATATAGTAGAACACAGTGCCATTACATTATAGGCATCGAAAGAGCACTAACTTTTATAATAGGAAAATAGTGCAATATTTGCTCAATGCTTTAACATTTTGTCACTCATTGTCATATCATTTAATTGATGAATCATCTCTGCATGGACTCAAGTAGTTATAGAAACAGATTTTATTATTCACTTCATCCAGAAAAGTTGCATTAAAAACTATGACTTGTTTTCCGTAAATATGACCCTAACAAAGAAGTTTTTTCAGTTTAGAAGTCAAATGTGGCAACGACAGTTAAGTGAAATTTTTCACCTGAATAGAATTTTAAGAAGTCTTATTAAAGATTCTGAAGCAGTTTACTCATAGCTGTGTTTGATAAAAGCAATGGTCATGGCAATGTTTCATACAAAGTCTTTGGTTTGTTTATGTGCAATTTACCTTTAACAGAGAATGAAAACAAATGTGCTCACTTGTCCCTCGTCTTTGTGGTTTTGCATTATGTTTATATTTTTTTGTGATAAAAAGTCATTTGTTTAGCTCATGGATAGTCTATGATTCTACAAAAAGTTCTGCAAAGGCCTGCAGAATTGGGTCAGAAAACAATCTTGGATGAGGTTTCACAATGAAAGCTAGGAAGTTGTAAAGTGACTTTTACTTTGTCAATGAATAAATATGAGTATTAATATTCTCCATATCATATCAAGTCAAACATTCCTCTAACAGTATTTTATCAGCATGGCAAGGCATTAGGTTGAAACATAAGGCCTTATACATTTTGTGCTTGGCTTCTGTGGCAGAGAGGTTGAGGTCGCTGACTTTAAACCACTTGCCCCTCACTGCTGTGGGTTTGAATCCCGGCAGGGACTTTTGAATTTTTCATGTGAGGAAGATACCCAGCTAGCTAAAGGAACATTGGTGGTTCTGCTCAGGTGCCAGTTTGTGCCTGAAGGGCACCTGAGGGATTCCTCCACGAGTAAAGCTGGAACGTCACAATATTACATACTGTGTCAATGTGACATTACCCCAGTCAAACAAACACTTTGTGCTCTTTGTACAATTTCTAAACTTGTATGTTACAAAGACATCTTTCATGTGTGTTTGTTTATTTGTGCGTATAAATTGTAGCTTTCTGTGGTAAAGCATTTGTGGCTTTCTGTGAAGAATTGTTGCATTATGTCACTCACTGGGTGTAGTTGTGATGTTTGCCTGTGGTTACAATGTACTTATAACAGAACCATTGTTCCTTGTTAGCTTGTCTTTAGAAGTATTGTTTTGCTGTAAGTCTATTAGGGCATAATAATTGATGTGCTGAACAGTAAATAACCTGATGTTTCTCTTCGGCTATTGGATGCATTCTGTAAAAGACCATTAGATTAACTTTGTATTCCAGTAACTAATAAAAACCACAGTTAGTTGATAATATTACTATATAAATGTCTTACTTTAGGTTATATGTTACTAGGAAGAGAATTTCAATGCCTTGGAAATGTATGGAAGACCAGAGATGTAGATGTCTCTGGGAAGACTAACTACCAACAATTATACATTATGTATTGCACACCCAATATGTCATTGAGATGTATGGAATACTAATTTTGCATCATCTACAACCAAAAACTTTTATATATGCAATATGGAAATATATGGAAGACTATTTGTGCCTTGTTTGCAAACCACAACTATACCATGATATTTATTGTATGTCTGATACAAAAGTCTGGCAGTAATTAAGGATCAAATTCTTTTTTCGTTACAGTTCATGTATTATGCTAATTTAGAATATGTAATATCAGAATACTTCGTATACAGCATGTCTTATATATGTTTAATCAATTGTTATGTCAATTGTATGTAAGATATTCACCTAGTATAACCGTCACATATTTTATTTCACAGGGGAGGATGATGATGGTAGATACATACATATATTATTCATTGTCACCTATTGCATTACATAATCATTACTGAGGTCATAGCTTGCAGCTTCATTTTTGCTTATTTGTATCAAATCTTTTTTTTTTACCTGAAACATTGCGTCAATATTATTAATATTTCTAGCTACACAGTAATAAGGGTGGGATGGGGGTGGAGTTTTTATAATGTGGCATCTATGACTAGCATGTCTTTATACTCTTGGCTTAAGCTAATCACTTCCTGTTTCCACAGGGTCATCTATGGCTAAGTAGTTTAAGTCATTTAGTCCAAACTATTTGACTCGCACCACTGAAGCAGGGCTTTTTTTTTCACAGGTTGGGGAAGCAGCCCTGCTCTTAATTTTAGGGGAAAATAACACAGTATATTTGCAAAACGGGAAGGAAAAACTTGATGTAAATTGAATTTTTGGGGAAAACTGCATGATTTTAAAGAATTTTTCTTTGGGGAAGCAGCCCTATACCGGCCCCTGCTATAGAAGGTAAAAAAGCCCTGTGTAGGTTCAATCTGCACCAACGTCTTTGAATTTTCAGATGTAGAAATTGAAATGTTTTGTGAAATTTGAAAGTAATTATGCATAAAAAAATTTAAGGAAAAAAAAGGATCCATGTTCAAACATGAATACTTCATTTCTACTGTATATCAGAATATAATCATAAAAAAATGTTTCAGGTAGAAAACCAGAGAGCCCCCATTGCTGCTGATGAACAATCGCACTTTTTCATATATTTTTTTACATAAAAAATTTATTCATTTATGTTTTAAGAATTACAATAGGTTTATTCTTGAGTTTGAAAATATATGAGAACCTGAGGACCAGTCTTTTGAAGAATTTATTCGTTTTTTTATATAGTTGAATTTTATACAGTAGCTTATAAGCCATTTGCACATACACACAAACAAAAACCTGTGTTTCAATCTTGTTGAATTGATTTTTTAGCATTTTTCAGAATATATATAATTATATATATTTTCAGAATATATTTTCTAGATTTAATAAGTTGTTACATTGCTTAAAATGTTGACAAACAGTCATGTTTACTTGACTATTGGACAATTTGTGGATTTTGTATTATCTTTTAACATTTGAAAGTTTATTAATTGATTTTAACTTTTACTTAATATATCAAAGATTAGCATTAATTTTGTAGTATCATAAATTTGTTATAAAAGCTTGGACCAGTAATATATATTATATAGTGTATAAATTGTAATTTGCTATATAACCCGTGCCAAATGTCTTGGGTTATATAAGCTGTTGATACTTGACCATATTACCTGTCCAAAAAATCTTTATAACTAATTATATCAATCTTTATAACTAACACTTAAAGTGCTGGAACCGAAAGCGTTTATAAGCCTTTGCCACCAGTATAGAGCCAGGCCAGCCTGCACATCTGTGCAGTCTGGCCAGGTTCTATACTGTTGGCTGACAAACTTAAAATATTCAAATTGATTATATTGAAAAGTTATTTATTCATGTCAATATTTCATTGTTAGGGCTTAAAATTTGCTCTTTTGAATACATTAAATCGGACAGTTGCATTAAATTGCCAATGGCTTGCAATTCTAGCTTCTTTCTCTATACCCAAACTAGTATTTCCCCCCAATATTACAACTTGTAATAACCATGTTTATATAACATCTAATGCCATTATGTGTCTCTAACAATACACTTCAGCCTCATTAAAACGCTCATGTTGGGGTCCAATGTCTCAACACCGCGTTCTAACGAGGCTCTCATTAGAACGCTCATTGCGAAATTACCGCATTTACCCCACCACTGCATATATATTTAACGCTGATTTTTTTACTTACTGTTCAATGAATATCAACATTATCTTTTTCTAAAACCATTCAATGATGTAAACATATATTTATATTCACAAATAATACTAATTATATTTAAAAGAAAGGAAAAACTTTCGAAAGAAAATTATAAATCATGAATGTAGTGTAAAACAGGTAGCCATTACTGTAATGACGTTTTATTAACTAGGGACACAACTAAAGCTGGACATTTACAGTCCAGCTTTAGTTGTGTCCCCTAGTAAATCAAACGCCAATTACCACCTGTCATGGCGCTCTATTTACAGTGCAGGATTTTAAATTGATTTTGGGCTTGTGGGTTATTTAATTCAGCGAGGTTTACATGTAAAATATATTGTGTGTGAATTTTAGTTTATTTATACTCACCACCGAATGCCAATGTAACAGTTTATGATATGAATTTGAGATTTTGGAAACAATTTGATGCATGACTGATGGACAGGTTAAAACAACAAAAGAGCGGATAAACGCTTACCTGGGCATGTTTTTCACACCTTTGGCGATCATAAATGTCCTAATAACAATTGTTTCTTGTACTTGGCTATCAAATTGAGCAAGCGTTATAGCGCGCTATAAATCTAAGTAAGTCTACTTAAAAAAAAAAAATTTTTTTTTTTTGGGGGGAATTTTTTTTTTTTTTTTGGGAGCCAAGGTCTATGAGCGCTCTACTGAGATTAGCGTTATAGTGAAGAGCTAGTTATCGAGGCTACAGTGTATATGTTATAACAAGTAGCTGTAGAAAGCATCATTTTTGAAAGTAAAATTTGTGGTTTCTTGTGTTTTAACGATTTACCAGCATTTGTAATGATCAGGGGAGACAATTTGCAATACTAAAGGTACTTGATTTAACTTTTAAATTTGAAAAAGTGAGGTAATAAGCAAAAAATTAAGTATGTCATTGATGTCAAGTTGTTTATGAACTAGAACTATTCTTTTTGCACAAGAAGAGAAGAAAATTCCTTAATTAAAATGGGAAATAACTTAGTCTTGTTAAAAAGGGGAGGTAAATTTATATTTTGTGTGTGTAATTTATTAACAAGGGAGATGCACATTCAATTCTTGCTTTAGCCATCTTATTTAGTTTAATTTGTGACATTTTAAGGTTTTTAAACAAAATATGCTCTTTCTTGCTAAATTTGACAAATGAGCACTTTTGAGATAAATGACCGCTTCTGATTCTAGCTGATTGGAAAATGTCTGAAGTTGATATCTAAAAAACAATGATGATGGCTAAAAATGCATCCTTTTTCCTGCTCTTCCAAATTTGATGGACTGATTTTTTTTAATATAATTGTAGAAATGTAATGTTGTAAGATATTTTTGTATTATTCTTGATAAAAAAAATGGAAAAAAACATGATGTAGTATAAGTGTTAAACTTAACTGATATAAGAATAAAATAATGTGATTTTCAATATATTTTTGTTGTAAACATGACTTCACATTCATGGAATCATTTAACGTAACAATAAACCAGTGTTGGGTATCTTCATTTATATCATGAATTATAATTTTGAAATTATAGGGATTTAAACCATTATTCATTATATTTTAAACCATGATTCATTGCGATTTAACCATGATTCATTGCGATTTAACCATGATTCATTATGATTTAAACCATGATTCATTGTGATTAGACCATGATTCAATGTGATTAAACTATGATTCATTGCGATTTAACTATTATTTATATAATTTTAACCATGATTCATTGTGATTTAACCATGATTCATTTTCTTTTTACTTTGTTTCATACATAGCAGGACGAGTAAGACCGAATCCTGGCCGAATTGCTGATTACGACCCGACTGAGGTTGGATTTGGTAGCGGAGGAGGGACACCGTATTCGAACAGAAACTCAGCTGGTGCTAAGCAAGTGTACGACTCGAACATTGGACGAGGTGAGAAAACATGAGCCTGATTTTTTGTAAAAAAAGGAAAAAAAGATTAATTAATATAAAAAAAAAGATAATTTAATGTGTCGTTAAAGTTAAGAACATCACATTTCTGACATTTTTATATGTTTTACTCTATGCATGTTTTAATGTGCTTTACTTTTAAGCCCCATATATAGGGATTTATCTTTTGCCATGCAAGTTGAGTTTTCTCCAAGATGCAGGTTTTTGTTCTTAATGACGTGATAGCACATTAATTTTTGGGATTCGATGATAATCCATGTGACATATATGACATAAGAGGCACGTTTCAACCTTTCCAAGTTTGTCCCTACATGTGTTTAACACTTAAACTGATGCATTTTGTTAAGGAAGCAATCTCTGGTATCAATTCTGACAATTTTTATGGAAGGCCTATTGCACACACAGAGAGGGAGAGAGTGTGTTCTTTCTGATGTTCTGTGTTGTATGCAATAATCATACAGACTGCTTAGTATATTTTTAGTATACTTTTATAATCTATTTACAATTGTGTGTGTTTGTTAGATCAATTACTGTCTAATGCTTTGACAGTCAGTCATACTTGATGAATGAAAACTGCAGTAGTATACTTTACAATGCACACTGCTGTAGTAAGGGAAGCTTGAAAATGTCAGTGCACAGAGTAGTAGGGGGAACAATGCACGAAAAATTAGCAAAGTCAACTTTTTATTTCCGATTTATTTATAAAGAAAATAATTATAATGTTTTCATCATCAACAAGAAAAGTGGTGTTTTTTTGTCTGTATGTGATTGTTTTTAGTTGATATCTACAGAAGATATTTGTTTGTATGTAGTGAATATGAAATATATCTCACTGAGATGAGATATATATTTATATTTCATGATCCTTTAGCACAGATGAAATATAAAGAAAGAAGTAGTCCACTTTAGTGTACAACTTTTGTTTTGCTAATTTTTAAAAAATTACAATTAAGTTTTCAGACATACAGTGTAGAGTAGATTGTATCTTAAATGATAAATTTGTGACAATGATTACTTAAATATTTCATTTTCAGTTTTTAACACTAGTAAAATAATAAGAATTCTCAAAATAATGTTGGATTCAATTTAATAATAATAATTATAAGTTACTATAGTTATGGTATATATAGTACTACAGAGTGTATATTTACATGTACAGATAATAGCCGAATGTTGGCTTATCAGGCCCAGAGGCTTTGCAGTAAGTGGGGAATGTGTCTTGACAAAATGTTTACCACAGTTTATATTTATAGTTAAAAAAGATTGTCAGTGTACTTGCTGTAAAAAAAGTCTTTGAATTTTTAAAAACACTCTTATATTGTTTTTGAAATATACTTCATTTTAATACAAAAAGGAATAATTTATTGTAAGGAAATGGATTTGCATTTCAAGTAGATTTGATTCCTTATAAAGGTCAGTAATCCAGTATGCTAGTATAATGTTGATAGCCTGTTGGAGACACCAAAAGCAAGTACATTGACATTTGTACCATAGCACCAACCATTATTGGAGTTAGTTCATTTAATGCCTGCAGTAACAGTTTGTGTTCCCAGGTCTGGAGATGTGTTTTTGCCTAGATTTGGTCAAAGCAGAGTTTGAACCCCCAAGGTTGCACTGCTGTGCAGACATGGAGTGCCTACCTGCCTACTGTTCCAGTATTGTAGCTCCCCTGATTTATGTTATATTTTATGTTCATTGATATAATTATAGCAAGAAATATTTTAGCATTGACCTGTTTAACACATATTCTTGCATAAAACTGTGCTGGGAGGTGTGGATTTATGGAGAAGAAACTTGCATTAAGAGATAAAATCATGACAGAATGACTTGTGCTGTTGCAAGTTTAGTAACATGATATCTGTGACTGACATAGGGCATCATGTAAGAATAGCCGACTTACATTACTGCTGCCCCTATAATGACCATTTCAAAATCAAAATGTGTTATGAAACGGGTTTTTTAATGCAAAAAGAACAAGTACAAAAAAAAAAGCTGAGTATTATATTATATTTTTATGCAAGAATAGCATTAATGCAAATTTTTTCATGCATTGACAAAACAGAAGCTGTCAGACTTTATTGATTCCCTTGCCCTGGAGCTCGGGCTTTCAATGTGTCTATGTGTTTCTACTTGTGTTATTGTATGAAAAAAGGGGCATTAACCCTGTATTATAAGTAAAAAATGTATATCATATAAATTATATAGAAATAAGTCTGCCATCTATTGTGATAATTATACTGTACGATACTTCCCTATATTTGTAATGTCTTAACATAGAAACTTCTTCGTCATGTATGTTGTATAAAGTAATTAATTATCTATACATAGACTAGTTCTGGCTCCAGTTGGTCAAGACATGGGAGGTATAGTATGTTAATATAGGCTTCCCCATGTCGCAAAAATCCTACTTTAGAAAAAAAACCTAGTCAGATTTCAATGACAAGTGGTAGAAGTATTTTGATTTAGCATATTGTATATATGTATATTGTGTAGAAGTTTGCTTAAGATGATAATCTCATTGAAGCCATATAAATACAATATCTGTTACGTTAAGAGTAAGGGGGTGTCCGTGGCCGAGTGGTTAAGGTTGTTGACTTCAAACCACTTGCCCCTCACCGCTGTGGGTTCGAATCCCGACAGGGACTTTGGATTCTTTCATGTGAGGAAGTTATCAAGCTAGCTTACGGAACGTCGGTGGTTCTACTCAGGTGCCCGTTTGTGCCTGATATAATGCACGGAGGGGCACCTGAGGTCTTTCTCCACCAGTAAAGCTGGAACGTCGCGATATGACCTATACTGTGTCGATGTGACGTAAAACCCAAAACAAACAAACGTTTAAAGAGTTATGGGGCATCCATGGCTGGTTTAGGTCTTTGACTTCAAAGCATTTTAACCTTATAGCTTAAACTTTGAATCCCCCCAGGGACTTTGTACTCCGTCACATGAGCGAGCTATCCAGCTTGTTTACAGGTTTACAGAACGTTGGTGGTTCTATTAACTCCGGTGCCCCCTCGTGCTTGAAACTATTAATGAAGGGGCACCTGAGGTCTTCCTCCACTAGTAAAGCTGGAAATTTGCCATATTACCATTAAATTGTTTATGCCACATAAAACCCAACAAAAAATTAATGTTAAGGAAGTTGCACTATGAATCTGGGCAGGTAAGATAGATATCTTCTATTCCTTAAAGGGAGGTAATCTTGTACTTAAAGGGAGGTAATTTGTACAGCAAAAAAACTGAATAGTATCACAACAGTGTAACTAAAATGTTAATAGTTATAATATGGAAGCAAAATAGTGTTTATTGACATTAAGGATATCTATCACCGTATAGGGTTATTTGTTTAGGTTGAAAAGTTGGAAAGTCAGAATATTATCGAATGAAATTGCTAGAATTTTTATGTTTTGTTCCACTAATATGATAGATATCATAATAACATGAATGTGTGTGTGTTTTATGTTTAAACAAGTCATGAGCATATATTACAACTGTGTTTGAAAACATGAGTTCACTGCTAGCTAAGTGTACATGTCTTGTGCCGTGTCAACCGAGGCTGTGCTTTATATTCTTGGAATTTACATGCATGGTGATGCTTGAGACAATTTTAACGTTCCATGGTCTTAATATGTTTTGTTTAGTTTAAAGTCATAAGACGCTGTTGCATTGAACTATGGAAATTTACTTTCTAGAAGGCTTTTAATGCATTTTGCTCTATCAGTAGCCCATAGAAATCTGCGGGTAGAGGAAGTTAACATTGCTTACTGCAGTAGTTGATTCATTTTTTGAACTGTTTTGAATAGTAGCTTGCAATTCTTTTCAATGAAACAACTCTCTGAAGTGATCATAGATTTTTGTTGTTGAGATATTTATTATTCTTAAAATAATGATTGTCAAAATTAAGATTATTTAAGTTACGAAAGCTTTAGTATAGTGTGGCCAGTCTAAATGTGTAATATTAAAATGGAAAAAAAAATCATATCTGGTCATATTTCACTCAGACGAAGACCCTGGCGAGTATAATAACCAAGAACGTCGCACGTCGAGAGGTTCCGTCAAAAGTAAGTAGGGTAGTTGATTTATAACCAGTGTATTCTATTGCTGTAGCTATAACAAAAATCGTGGCTACTCCGGGGTTGCTTACTGTGAAGTTTTAAGGGATGCGTGACTAAGAACTTTACTTGTAAAACAAAATTGTCTTTATGGTATAAACACATTCAGTTTTCTTCCTTTGAGCACGGAAATACTTTAAACAATAAAAGATTATTTATTGATGAAAATAAAAAAATAAGAAAGAAAAATAAGGGGATAATTTTAGGCATTTTTGGTGAGGAACTGAGGATGATGTTGTTTTACCCCCCTTTACCTCTGTTTGTTCGTCTCTTGCTTTTGTTGTCTCACTGTGGGTGTTCATAATTATAGGTGTTTGGTCTCAAGCCACTAATGCCTTTTTTACTTGCCTTAATAAAAGCACCATTTATGTGTTTGGTCTCTGCCACTTATGCCTTTTTTACTTTATAAAGCACCATTTAGTTAAAAATTCTTGTTAATTAGGCTTGTTCTTTTGAATAATTAAGCATTTTCTTTTGTTTTAAAATTTCACGAAACTTTAAATTTTAAGGTGGTTGTTTTGTTTACTTGAAAAATTTTAAGGAAAACTTGAAAATTTCTTTATTATGTATACATTGTATTGTTGGTGGACATGGTGACCAAAGGTAGGCATCATGGCGGGAAAATATTTTATAAAAACTGGTGTAATAGCCTTTTATGGAAAGCACCAAATATTTATTTATAAATCTTTATGATGTAAGGTTATGAATAAATTTGAGGGATGGTATGAAATTTTACATTAACTTCTTAAATATTAGGTAAAATAATGGTGCTTTCCCCAGGTTCATGATAAAATGTTGACCGATTCCATCTGGAAACAAATTCATAGGCATGTAACTAAACTCTGGTTAGATAAATATCCAATTGTTATCCTCGTTGAAAAGGCAGTTAGGGATATGGTAATAGTTTCTATCCATTCTTTTGTCCTTCTGATTGTCTGTACCACATTGTCTAGCCTAATTTGAAAACTTTCTAAGGTATGACTATTTATATATCAGGTTAACTTGTTACTCAGGCAGAAACAAGGAGAAATGAGAGCTAGATAAATCACGATACAGTAACATGTTAATGTTTGAATTATCTCCCTTTTATTCAATTTCCAAATGATAATAAAGTGTAAATCAAATACTATCCAAGAGCTGTACTTGAAAATTAAAACATGACTTGGTTGCAACTGTTGCAGGGAAGTGTTTCAAAATTGTAGTTGTAGAGCCATTTTGAATAATCTGCCAATTACATTTAAAGTTTAATATTAATGTCCATCAATATTTATTATCAAAGTTATGTAAAAGTTTGTAGAAATGAATTGTTCTACTCTCCAACACATACATTTTCAAACAAGCAAAATGTGGATGGTAAGGTGTGGCGGGGGAGGGGGTAGGGGCTGTCAACATGGGTCTTTTGATAATTGACTCTAACATAATTTTAGTTAATACAAACCCCTCTATGAAAGCATTATAAATCCAGCAGAATTTTTTTTTTTTTTTTAAAAGGATCAGGCAGTTGTTAAAGAGAAAATAATCAAAAGATAAAATAAAACTTTGACCATAATGAAAGAAAGCATGACCTAGCAATAGACAAGACATAGTCACATACTATAGAGGTTTTTTTTTATTTGTCTAGAATATAATTGTAGAAAAGTTAAAAATTTAGTAGAAGAAATTTATATAAAGGCTAGTGAAAATTTGATTATTGGCTAAGAATAGCTTTGTTAGTTATAGCTTATGCTAGATTTATAAATATATACGCCTGTAAGAAAAGCTTGTCCACCTATAGGCAGTATTTTGCGTTGCAGTAATTAGATATGCCTTTAAGCGCAAGAACAGGAAATTCTGTCAATAATTAACCTTAAGTCCAGTTATGAAAGACTATGTACCCTGTACCCATATATAAGAAAGACCCAACAAATATTTGGGTATAGGGTATGAACTGGTCATTTGATTTTTTAGAGTTGAAGAATCTGTGACTCAGGTTGCAGGTTCCTAGCTGTGCTTAGACAATCTATGATGTTCTTGTTTTTAAACTCTGTGATCAAGGTTGTAGGTCTGAGACTTGTGTATCCTGTAGCTTTTTGTTTTTCGTTTAACTTACATGTGATATTTTGCTAAACTAACTGTGTTATTGAGTAATAATATTATATTGAGAATTTTGAAACTAGACTGCTTGCACATTAGATTTTCCTTTTAGGCAGAATCCTGAGCTTTGTGTGCATGGCCTGGAGATTTCTTCTGAAAACCAGTCTACTCCGAAATCTTAGCCCGTTAGAACTGAAAGTGACGAGCCTTTGCCAAAAGTTTAGAGCCTTTACAGTCTAATTAGGTCAGGATCTATACTGAATTTTAATTGGCTGTTCCAAATTCAAAGCAGGGCTAATCTGTTACATAAATTCAGCACGTTGTGGTTAAATGCTGCTTTGTCATTGTTTTTTTCTTCAAAATTTAACCAATCAACTGCAGGAGGAGAGAGACTGGTTTTCAGAATTATTAGTTTCATAACTATAAGACATGAAATATTTCAAGCATAGCTTATTTCATGCTTACTTCATTCATTATCAAATAATTGATATTCTGAATTTATATTATGAAGATGAAATTGCAATAACAAAGAAAGAATATGGTTTCTTTTTATGTTTCAATGAAAAGAGTGTATGTAAAAATTGTTCTGAAATTAACAGTACTTGAGACTCTGTTTTCTTTATTTTGTATAATTTATATAATTCCACATCTCATTTGTTACTTTAAAGCCAGATGAGTTAAGTAGCTCCTGAGAGAGAGTGTTACATTAGGACATCTTATTTGAAAGTTTAAGTAATGGCACTGATTAATCTTAAGAAAATTTAATCTTGAGAAAATTTTTGCATATATCTTCCTCTGCTGCTATTTTACAAAAAGATTGACAGCAGTCCCATGCAGAAAACTGGTCAGTACTGGTGCAGAATCCAGGACAACTGGTCCAGTACTGGTGAACTGATATATAACCCAGAAAAGTAGCTTTTGTATTGAACAATGTCTGTTGAAAGCTTTATAATGCAACCGTTATGTCCAGGAGGCAGGCTTCATGGTTGTTAAAAAAATCTAAAAATAAATGATGGTTGTGTGAAAAATAAATTGGCTTACCCCTCCTGTTGTTATTAATTGTTATGTCAAGGTCAACTTTTTACTAAGTTCATTATAAATCATCACTTCATTTGAATGTTTGTTTGTATCAAATATTTGCATAGTATGTTCTGAAGAGGTACCAAATTTTGGTACATATAATTATACTGCACAGAGTGATGCATGATGCTTTACTAAGAAACAGATGTTTTATATAACATAGAAATGCACTGTATGTGGCATGGTGCCAAAGATTGTGTAGCTACAGGGCTTTTATTGGCTATCACCCAAAACAGCTGTAATATATCCAAAAGAAAAAGAAAAATCCACTTCCCGAAAGTAAACACTTTCTTTTCTGTGAAGATGTGTAGTAAAAAGTTGTTCTATTGTGTATAATTTTTTTTTTTTCTTGAAAATTAATTAGGGGTTGTTTTTTTTTTTTTTATAACTTTGAATATGACCTTTTCCCAAATGACTGTCCTTTTCCCAAAAGATATAATGTTCAACAGGATAGTTTTATCAAAAGTTGTCGAGAAAAAGCCCTGTTTAGTATTACAATTTGCGTATGAAGCATGGTGATTTGAAGTGTTATACATTCTATAGATCGTGTTCAGAGATTTTCCTCGTCTGGCGATGAGGACCCGGCGAGGTGTAAGTATTTTTTGCATTGTTGCTTCCTTCACTAATATAATCACTGTGAATACTGTGCGCTGAGGGAAGTTGTATTATGCTGGAAAAAATTTAGATCACTGTACATGGAGATGAATTAGTAAAATGGAGAAAATATGAATCCCTAAAGAAAGTCCAAAATGGCAAAACTCCTGTTATCAACAGAAAATCTTAAGTGTACAGATATTTTGTTTATTCTAGCTAGCTTTATTGAGAACAACAACTTTTTCAGGAGGTGTCCTTAACATTTGCCCTTGTCCTTTCCCTTACAGACAGACAAAATGCTTATCCTTTAAACTACTACATGTACACTGTAGCTGTTATTGTCATTTCCCTGCCAAAAGACAGTGATCTCAGTTTTTCCGTAGAACTGTTAGTGCTGCTTGTTTTCTACTGGTTGTGGTTTGTAGAGATTTGTCATACTCGTTTTTGTTTGCGTAATAAACCAGAATATTTACGTTTGTTTGTATTATTTTAGAGTTACCTGGACTCGCATGCATAGGAGTTTTTTTTAATTCTTTATTGTCTTGCTCAATTATTATATTAATATGATACGGAGTGCTGTCTTAATGACCTAGGTGTCATAGTCAGTGACAGCACACTTTGTGAAGTTTTTTTGTATCACCCAACTTTCTTTAGCAGTTATTGCTGTGAAACTTCTTATGCTAATACTTGTGACTTATTCCCCCTCTTGCAAATTTAGGTATGAGTAGATAACTCGTGTCATGAAGTTTGTCATAATTTTGCCCCCTTTTTAGCCGAGAGATTTTTCAAAGATGTGTTCTTAATCTACAGTATCAAATGCTGAGAGTAGTTGAGCGCACTGTTTATGGACAGCTCTTGTTTTACATTCTATTAAAAAAGTAAATGGCTGATCTTAAAGCATAAAAAATCTTTAGAATGGTACTGTAGTCATAGTTTATTTTAAGCTTGTTTCTTTTTTTGTTATTTATATTATGGGTATGTTTATTGAGAAATCTATTTATAGTGCATGTTGAATGATGTTTCATGTTGTGTTGTTTTATTTATTTTTTTTTTTTACTTATCTGTAACCTTATGATTCTAATATACTTGTTTTTATTCTCTTTCAAGTGCTTCATAATTTTTCTATGATCTTGGAGTACCCTTGTAAACTCCTGTACTCACTTATTTCAACTTAGGTTATACATTTATTATATTTTTGATGTCTAATGATTAGAATTTTTAGTGATAGTTTTGCTAGTTAAATATATTTAGTGTTTATGGGCATTTTATATGTTTGCTATGGACATTGCATGGTGGGATATATAGGTGTTGTTGTTGTTTGACAACGATGCATCTTTACAATGTATGATATTGTGACCGTCAAGTGGCGGAGGGTGTGAAGAGCATTGTGCCTTATTTTGTCGTATTGTCTAATGTCTTTGTGTTTTAGATACATATACCCAATTAGTTTTGTTGTGCTAAATCTAGTTTCTGACTTTCCACGCTATTTTCAGATCTTTAGAAATACAGCTTTTTTTTGCCTTTAAAAATGAAAAGCAATGGGTTTAACAGTTAAGCTTTTAAGCTTTTGATCTTACTTTGTGGAAAGAGTTTTCCTTGCGCTTTATTTACATAAGAAAGTTCTCTTAAAGTAAGTTACAGAGGACTTGCAAAGATAACTTACAACACTGTTGCGCTGATTCTTTGATGTATGAAAAACCAGCTTTTGATTGGTTTTATGATTCTGAGTAACTGCTTGTGCCTAATAAGAACACGCAGGCAAACTTTAGGTCTTTCCATACTTAAACTAATTAATTAATTCTTAATTAATCAAGAAAATGACCAAAATCTTTTAAATTAAAAAGTGATGACTTATATGAGACTCAATAATATTTGAATTCAGTTGATCATGTATGGGAAATGTATTATTTTAGATAAGATTTTGCATACTTAATATCAAGATAAATGTTAGGTTTTCTTGATAATAAATGTTTCCACATTATACAACGTGCTAGGATATACATGTATATATATAGTATTTTATGTACTTAATGTTTATATTCTAATTTATGTTATGATCATGTTGTATATACATATTGTATTATATACATTTATACTATGTTACAAATGTATTTAATTTTATCGAAATTTCTTTTGGTTGAAAACTCTTTTAACTCCATATCTGATTAGTAATAAACTATTATGTCGGGAAGTGTTCTTCATCCTTTGAGGAATACTTTACACGACATGGATATAAGAATTTTGAAATTAGTCCAAGAATAGTTCTTGGTTTTTACATTGACTTTGCCATTATAATACATTGACTTGGTCATATATTACATTGACAGAATCTCGGGACTTGTTCTATTAGTCTTTACACAGTAATATTAGTGTTGCATTTTACCTTATAAATATATTCATTATATAATTAACATCTCTTTGCTGTCTTACAATATATGTAACTGTATTACAGACACAATCACCATATTTTAACATGACTATCTGTTATGATTCTTGCTTGAATTAACATCACTTTTAAAGTATCATAGCCAGTTTCACAAATTCAGAATAGTATCAATATTTATATAAAATGTATATTTTATGTTTACACAGAGTAATCTTTCACATAATGTATCTGTATACTAGAACATTTTCTTTTTTACTTCAAATTTAAAGTAAACAGAACTTTTCCAAACCATGAATAGCTTAGAAAATATAAACGACTTAAACATTTTGGAGTTAGTTTGAAAATGCTCATATGTAAATGGAAGTTGTGAATACTGGGAAAATACAAAAAAAAAGGAACAAAAAAGGAGGAAATCTATAAAGATCAAAAATTGTTGTTTGTAATGAAAAAGCTTAATTTATACTCAAAATAGTCAGCATCCATTAATTTGTGATTAAAACTATTTGAATTTGAAGAAGAAATTTGAGTGGAAAAAAGAATCTGTAAAAATCAAATATAAATAAATGTACAGATGAAATTTTTTTGTAACTTTATCATATAATTTAATTTAGTAACAAACTTTTAGTATTGTTATTGAGTCTATATATAAAATTATCAGTACAATTTGAGCTAACTTTCGGTGGTTCTACTCAGGTGCCCGTTCGTGCCTGAAATATTGCAGGGAGGGGCACCTGAGGTCTTCCTCCACCAGTAAAGCTGGAACGTCGCCAAACGACCTATACTGTGTCGATGTGACGTAAAACCCAAATCAAACAAACAAAAAAGTACAATTTGGAGAGGAGTTAATAATATTTTATTAACAAAAGTTTGTGATTGGTTTGTGATAATTTTTTTAATATCGTATTAAAAATATGTCAAACAAATCTGAGATTTCAAAAAGACATAATAAAACATGATGCTATTGTTTTAAGTTATGCCGAAATTTGATGAAACACGATATTGTGGAATATTGTGAATATGATATTAACTTGATTCGATTTGAATAATTGGAAACATAGAAGATAATATGATGCAAAGAAAAACTATGTCATTATGAAATGTAATGTCACTATGCAATAGAAAAAATAAAATGTCAAAAACATGATCAGGTATGATAAAACATAATTAAAATTCATGAAACATGATGAAAGAGGTGAAACAATAATGGAATCTTTTAAAACATGATGAAATTTAATGAAACATGATAAAATACTATTAAAAAATAATAAATTAAAAACATGAAATTTAATGAAACATATAAATTTTCCTGAAAGTTGTTTAGATTTTACAAATTTTTATAACACATGATGTAATTTAATGAAACATGATGAAATACAATTAAAAAAAAAATGAAATTGAATGAAACAATGTGAAATTTCTTAAAAGTTGATGAAATTTCACACAACATGAATTTCATAAAAAAAAAATATATATAATTTTAATGAAACATGATTGATTTGTGATACTTACAGTGGAGCAGCCACAGTCACGTAAAGTTGGCTCAATTAGTGACTATGACCCTCTTAATGAGAAATACGGCTCCATAGCCGGTCAACACACAGATCCTAGGAGAGGTAATTCGACTAAACAAAAAATAGTTCTTATTTATTTTAAACACAATAACTTTAGTGAATAAAGGAAGGTATTTTGACAATGGGCAAAATACCCTTAATTCCTAAAACAAAAATTAAATAAGAGAAACTTTTAGTTTTATACGACATTTTTGTTGTTGTCATCAGTGTAAAGAAAACAAATTAGTGGTAGATTTTGGTTTTTATTGATGAATAAAATTTGATACTGGTTTAAAAGAGAAAAAAGCAAAAGAATGTTAGGTTAATGGCAGCACTTCACTTTAGGCATATTTGTTTAGCTATGCTTCAACTTCAAATGCAAACTTTATATGTTAGCTGTCTTGTTTCTTTTTGTATGTCTCTGCATTTTGTAATTTGCACTGGGAACTTTTGCCCATTCTATTGGAAAAAATTAACAACAGGGTTTTGTTTGCAGTTTGCCCTTGACCTTCCCAATCTTTGCATGAATGGTTGAATGGAAATTTTATTTCTTTTATTTCACATAGCTGAAAATTCTAGAATGGGCTGTCCTATACAATGTTAAACATCTGACTTTATTTCAATTTGAGCCGTGACACGACAAAACCAACATAATGGGTTTGCGACCAGCATGGATCCAGACCAGCCTGCGCATCCACGCAGTCTGATCAGGATCCATGCTGTTCGCTATCAGTTTCTCTACTTATAATAGGGTTTGTAAGCGAACAGCATGGATCCTGATCAGACTGCGCGGATGCGCAGGCTGGTCTGGATCCATGCTGGTCGCAAACCCATTATGTTGGTTTTGTCGTGTCACGGCTCATTTCTGTTTGGTCTATATACTAAAACCATGTTCTGCTTACTTTGTGTCTTGGGCAGGATGGACTTTTAAATGTTTAGGTTAAAAAACAACAACAATGTAATAGATTTGAAAGGCAAACAATATAAAGCCAGGTTATAGTGCTCACAGATGTGCTGTCTGGCCAGTAAAGTCTGCGTCGTCTTCACAGATGTGCAGGCTGGCCTGGCAGCATATTGATAGCAAGTCAATCATTTATGACCACTAGCTTAAGCGTAAAGACTCGTAATGATTAGCCTGCAGGTGGCAACAGATTCTATCCATGTGACCAATGCAGACCAAGATAAGCCAGCACATCTTTGGTGTCTGATCATGCTCTGCAATGTTCGCTATTCAGCCAGTACTATGAATGGTTTTGTCCAGATTTAAATATGAGCCGCGTCACGACAAAACCAACATAATGGGTTTGTGACCAGCATGGATCCAGACCAGCCTGCGCATCCGAGCAGTCTGATCAGGATCCATGCTGTTCGCTTACAAACTATTACAAGTAGAGAAACCGATAGCGAACAGCATGGATCCTGATCAGACTGCACTGATGTGCAGACTGGTCTGGATCCATGCTGGTCGTAAACCCATTATGTTTGTTTTGTCGTGACGCGGCTCATATGAATTTTTGTCAAGTTTTAAAGATGGACAAGTCCATTTAGGTTATTCAGTATGGTAAGGGTTATTGCTAGTGGTGGTAATGACTTGCACTTGCCACCAGTATCTGTGCAGTCTTGCCAGGCTATATACTGATAGCTACTTGATATTGGCACCTTAATATTGCAATATTTACAGTGGACCAAATTCGACCAAGCAGATTTAGATTCATTGCATGAATTCAGCTGGGTAAAGGTTAATATAAATACATGTAATTATATTTAGGTCAGACTTTCTATTGCTGGAAATCAAGTTTGAAAGTTGTAAATTTATTTTTAAGGTGTCAGATTGTGACAACTATTTCTTAAGAGTGATATAGGTGAAAACATGTTGCAGAGATTTACAAGAAGACAAGCAATCGGCTTTAACCCATTGCTTTTGATGTTGAGCAGATGCTATCAAGCCAGTGCTGTTGCATTTTCAGTAATATATTAAATAATGAATAATCAAAGTCTGAAAAGTTTTTCTATGTGCAAGATTTGTTTGTTTTTTATCTGATTTGATTCAGTTTGTATTATGAAAACGTGATATTGTAAGATGTGGTTTACTTTACAGCCCAGCAGCCAGCACAACAATATCAGCCCCCACCTCAACAACCTTATCAGCCCCCACCTCAACAATATCAGCAGCCCCCAGCAGAACCCCAGCAACCTAGAGATGATATGGCAGGCAAAGGGGTGAGTTTTGAAAATTTCTATCTTTTGTTTATCTTTATTTGTTTTGTAGATTTTTGGGCCTTTAGCTGGTTTACATATAGATTCTGATGAAAATCATCTCAAACCACAAATTATGAACTAATGCAAAGATATTAATATAAGGACATACAGTTTAATATGATGCTGAAAAAAAAGCCAGGGAATTTTGATTTAGGAATTTTGAGAAAAGAGGTGTTCTTATAGGCTTATCAAGAAGCATTGGTAAAGAAGTGTGGAGTTACGAAGCCATTTATACTGGTAGAATTTCAGATGTATCTAATTTGCAGGTTTAGGATAACCGTGTATTTACAAAACAAAAGGATGAAAAAACTGTTCAATTGCTAGAAGCCCTTGGCCATAAAATGGAATAACAATGCAAAAAGATTTTATGCCATATCTTTATTTGCAAGGTTAAAACACAGAGGGTATGGGTTTTTTAGCTCACCTGTCACAAAGTGACAGGGTGAGCTTTTGTGATCGCTTTTCGTCCGGCGTCCGTCCGTCGTCCGTCCGTAAACTTTTACTTTAAATGACATCTCCTCATAAACTACTAAGCCAATTTCATCCAAACTTCACAGGAATGTTCCTTTGGTGGTCACCTTTAAAAATTGTTCAAAGAATTTAATTCCATGCGGAACTCTGGTTGCCATGGCAACCGAAAGAAAAAACTTTAAATATCTTCTTTTAAAAAACCATAAGAGCTAGAGCTTAGATATTTGGCATGAAACATCTTCTAGTGAGTGTCTACCAAGTTTGTTCAAATAAAAGCCCTGGGGTCAAAATTGGCCCCGCCCCGGGGGGTCATTGATTTTCCCAATATGCATATAGTAAAAACTTAAAAAATCTTCTTTTAAAGAACCCAAAGAGCTAGAGCTAAGATATTTAGCATGAAACATGTTCTAATGGGTGTCTACCAAGTTTGTTCAAATAAAAGCCCTGGGGTCAAAATTGGCCCCGCCCCGGGGGGTCATTGATTTTCCCTATACGCATATAGTAAAAACTTAAAAAATCTTCTTTTAAAGAACTCAAAGAGCTATGGCTAAGATATTGAGCATCAAACATGTTCTAATAGGTGTCTACCAAGTTTGTTCAAATAAAAGCCCTGGGGTCAAAATTGGCCCGGCCCCAGGGGGTCATTGATTTTCCCTATATGCATATAGTAAAAACTTAAAAAATCTTCTTTTAAAGAACTCAAAGAGCTATGGCTAAGATATTTAGCATCAAACATGTTCTAATAGGTGTCTACCAAGTTTGTTCAAATAAAAGCCCTGGGGTCAAAATTGGCACCGCCCCGGGGGTCATTGATTTTCCTTATATGTGTACAGCAAAAACTTAAAAAATCTTCTTTGAAAAAACCCAAATAACTAGAGTTAAGATATTAAGCATGAAACATCTTTTAGTGAGTGTCTACAAAGTTTTTTCAAATAAAAGACCTGGGGTCAAAATTGGCCCCGCCCCGGGGGTCATTGATTTTCTTTATATGTGTATAGCAAAAACTTAAAATCTTCTTTGAAAAAACCCAAATAGCTAGAGTTTAGATATTAAGCATGAAACATCTTCTAGTAAGTGTCTACAAAGTTTGTTCAAATAAAAGCCCTGGGGTCAAAACTGGCCCGACCCCAGTGGTGTCATTGTATTTAACTATATGTGTATAGTAAAAACTTTAAAAAAATCTTCTTTTAAAAAGCCCAATGAGGTAGAGCTTAGATGTTTAGCATGAAACATCTTCTTATGGGTGTCTTCCAAGTTTGTGCAAATAAAAGCCCTTGGGTTAAATTGGCCCTGCAACGTTGGGGGGGGGGGCTATATACAGGTGAGCGACCTCAGGGCCATCATGGCCCTCTTGTTTATGTGAAGGATATGCATTGCAGTATTTTCATGTATCACATTATTTTCCATGTTACGTATACATGTATTTGCATTTTGACAGATGGTTTGTAAAGCAATGTACGATTACGACGCAGCTGACGCGGACGAGGTTGGTTTTCGAGAGGGAGATTTGATCGTATTCTGTCAGCCAATTGACGCGGGATGGATGGAAGGCACCGTAGAGAGTACCGGAAAACGTGGAATGTTACCTTCAAATTATGTGGAGAAAATCAACTAGGCGCTTTTTTAAATGAAAATTTAATCATTTTTTAAAATGTGTATAGAACATGTATATATAGCTATGTGTGTTAAGATAAGTTGAAAAGCTAAAGCCTAGGGCGAGTCTGAACCAGAATTGCATTAAATTTGTGATGGAAAACGTGATAATTATGTTGTAACTACTTAACAGAGCCTTTATGTTAAATATGTTTTTTTTTAGTTTTTTAAAGATCAAAATTTGAGATAGATGCCTTTGAACAGATTTTGCTTTTTCTAGAACAAGACAAAATAGTGTGATGTCTTCTTGAAATCGTCCTAATTGGTAAGACAGTTATAAAATGTTTTAAGTACAAATCTGCATGGAGAACAAAGTCAGTGCCTGCTCAGGCAAAGATAAGTTTTGGGAGTTTTCGTAAGATGATATTTGGTATGGGTACATGTAGTTTTGCAGGAAAAGAAGCCCAGTCCAGTCTGCCTAATGTGTACATAGCTGTTGCAATTTCTTTCACATCCATAATAAATGTTTTTTTGGAGAGAAAAAAAACGGTTCTTGTAAAAATTTAAATAAATCATCCACGGTTTTTAATATTGATATTCAAGAGTTTCATTCTTTTCACTGTCCTCCCTATCGGTTTCAAACTTGCTTCTTGAATTCTTTGTTGTTGATTCTTTTTTCCCACAACTTTTTAAAGAGGAAAAGAGGAATATTTCATTAGCCTACATACGTACCACTACCTTAGAGCGTAAATGTAGTTTTGAACAAATATTTTTTCAGAACATCGATATTAACCTGCTGGGAACAAAAATTATAAGTCCTTGACCAGGTTTTATACAGTACATTTTAGATAAGTAAATTGAGCCGCATCACTACAAAACCAACATAGTGCGTTTACGACCAGCATGGATCCAGACCAGCCTGCGCATCCGCGCAGTCTGATCAGGATCCATGCTGTTCGCTATCAGTTTCTCTACTTGTAATAGAGTTGGTAAGCGGACAGCATGGATCCTGATCAGACTGCGGATGCTCAGGCTGGTCTGGATCAATGCTGGTCGCAAACCCATTATGTTGGTTTTGTTGTGGCGCGGCTCAATTTTGTTATTAGTTTAGATTTTTTTATAAAAAGATATATCTTAGTTTTTAAAGTTGCCATATTTTGAATAGATAGGAGAGAGGGAAAAGGGCTTGCGATTTGAATATCATTTTCGTTTTGTTCCTCAGACTATGAATTTATTTTTGTCATATTTTGTTGTTGTTTTTATTACTTTATTTCTGTTCTTAATTCAATGATCAGATTGACTACATGTGTTTGACAGTGTTTTTTTTTTTTTTTTTGCATTTTTTTTTATCATTCATTTTTGCAAGGATTGTTTTTTTATTATGATTTTTTTCATGGATATTTCCACAGTATTTTTTGTTGTCATTGTTCTCTTGTGAGACATTTTAAGAAAATTGCTAAAGTTTTAGTGACCCATTAGCTAGCATCATAGTGAATGTGTGAATTAAAAAGAACAAAAGCATCCTGAAACTTTAGAAATGAAATAAGAAAAAAAATTTTATGCAGTTTTCCAAAATATTCAAACGTAAAGCAGCTTCATTCTTTCCCAAATAAGCAACGTTAGTGATAAGTCTTACCAAAAAAAATAAAATTAAGAGAGTAAAAACAAAAAAAACAAAAAAAAATTAAGAGAGTAAAAACTCCTTTTTGAAAACAGAAAAAAAACAACAAATATTATTTTTTGATCATTAATGTGTGAATTCAGGCTGTGTTAAACACCAATAAATATATTTAAGTCTTTGGGGTTTTGTTTTAAGAAAAAGGTTTTGTTATTATTTAAAGCAAAAAATTACTAGGTTAAACTGTTTTATCAATTTTGTATATTTAAAAAGGCATCTAGTATCTCATCTAATAATGCAAAACTACTTATCTATATATATGCTTATCTAAGTTATTTCATATGAATCTTCCATAAACAATTTCGAATGTGTATCAAATACTGCTATTTATATATATATATATATATATGAAGCCTTGGATTGTATGCTCAATGCAACACCTAGTAAATTAACTAATTCTGGTGCAATTTCGGTATGCAGTCATAGTGGCGTGTCTTGGAAACACGATTTTCTATTGTCTCTTTTTATTAAGGGTGTATTATAAAAAAATGTTAACACAGATGTTTTTAAAACTGGAACTTTGTTAAGACTTGTTTTAAAGCTAGATAATAGAATTTAGATGTTTTTATATTAGAAGTGTGTGGTGGAGAATGAAGTAAAGTGTAGCCCTTTTGTACCCATAAAGTAATAAGTTGTTGTTCCAAAAATTGTTAATTAGTTGTATATTAATTTCAACATTTCAAAAATAAGTTTTTGAATTCTAAACATTTTCAAGTGTAATGTTTGGCAAATGGGGTTCATAAATCGGTGGAATTTATATTGTTTTTGGCTTAATCTTTAGCCTGAAGGAAACAAAATTGATTACCCTTTACCACCAGAAAAGAGCCAGGCCAGTCTGCACAACCATTGCATCAGCCCAGGCTCTACACTGTATTAGTAGCTAAATTTTTGTATTTTGATACAGAATTCCATTAAATTTTGAATGGACCGCTCCAAATTTAAAGCTGGGCAAATTGTTTATACAAATAACAACAGCTTTAGGGTTGAACTGAATAAAGTTCTTAAGTAAAGGGATGAAAAGGTCATAACAATTTCTCCATGGAGTAGAAAACAAACCCTGATATTATTTTGTGGGTATCACAAGGGTTTTCAATGATTGTATGAGTGAAGAAGGTTTTCATTGCTTGGAGTTTTAAATGTGTCCTGATTCATCATGTGTTTGTCTTTCATGTTAAGTTTTGTTTTTGTCAAGTTTAGATTGTGTATATGTATGGTATATAGGTGGGCTTTTTTAACTGGATGGTATATATATGTGTGTATTATCTAGCTAGGTGATATATATGTGTATTATCTAATTAGGTGGTATATATGACTATTTCCTAGCTAGGTGCACTATCTGATTATGTGGTATGTGTGTATTATCTAGCTGGGTGGTATATAACTGTATTATCTAGCTGGATGGTATATAACTGTATTATCTAGCTGGGTGGTATATAACTGTATTATCTAGCTGGGTGGTATATAACTGTATTATCTAGCTGGGTGGTATATAACTGTATTATCTAGCTGGGTGGTATATAACTGTATTATCTAGCTGGGTGGTAGATAACTGTATTATCTAGCTGGGTGGTATATAACTGTATTATCTAGCTGGATGGTATATAACTGTATTATCTAGCTGGGTGGTATATAACTGTATTATCTAGCTGGGTGGTATATAACTGTATTATCTAGCTGGGTGGTATATAACTGTATTATCTAGCTGGGTGTTACATATGTAGACTATCTGGCTTGGTGGTATATATCTGTATTTTCCAGCTGTGTGGTATATAACTTCTTTTCTCCTAGCTTGGTGATATATATGTGCACTATCTGGCTGGGTGGTATACAACCTGTTTTTATCTAGCTTGATGGTATATATTGTTCCTCTATCTTCCTTTAACCGTTATATGTGTCTGAATTAAAACAGTTTATATAAATTAAATATTGAGATAAAAAATCATTTTAGCTTTGGCTTTAGAGGGAAATCTCCTAAATTTTTCTTCATAAAAGTCGGGCCCCTTTTAAAAGGAGCGGAAATTTAAGGCTATATAAATCAAACTTTATAGATTTGTGAAAGTGTTTAAAGTAACACAAAAAGTCATGACTTCAACATGGCATCTTGAATAAAAAGAAAGTCGTTTCCAGTGTCAATAACCTTTTTAGTTAATCATTGATAAAGAATGCTTCTGTGTTAAAGATAGGCTGTTTATTCAATTGCTATGTTGTTACTCGTTGCTATGCTGTTAGTTAATGTGTTTTCTGCCTTTAAATGTGATCTATTCTGTTGGCTTTTAAAATCTTTTATTCCTTACTCTATATTCACTTATATACAAGGAGTTAGCAGTTTCAAGGGTATATTTTTCATCGTTTTTTGTTGACTGTTAACAGTGAAATTAAAATGTATAGTGACATTCTGATTACATCTAAAACAAACTAAATGGGGAAAAAGTTGCAAAGTCGTTAAAAGTAACAACCCCAAAATTTAAAGTGAAACCCAAAGGGAATTTTAAAAATTTTTGTTATTTTTAAATTTTTTCCTCAGATAAAAGGGTTTTTTTACAATTTTAAAAAATTTTTTTGCAAAAAATATTCCCCATTATAATATTTTGTATTTTTAAAATTAGCTTTTTTATTTGACAAATTTCAACTCCTTCCCTGTACTACCACAGACGTTTGTTCTTTTTGTTTTAGAAATAAGTGGTCTACGGGTATTTGATCGACCTAAAAAGTTTATTTATAGAGTTACTAAAATAGATGAAATAGAGAATTTATTCAGGATAGTTTGTATATTAAGTTTTTATCTAAAATTTAATCACAGGTTTATATGGCATTGTTAATTGTTTTTATTTTTGTATGTATAGGGTATCAATTTTGCAATATATATATAAATGAAATTAATTGAACAATACTATCATTTTTTGATCACGAAATGTGAAAAATATCAATCCAAACAGACCAGATTTCGTTAAGTTCCTATTCATGCTTTATCACCACTTTTTCATGAGGAACTTTTACAACAAAACTGCATTGTGATTTCTGTAATATTTTTAGAACAGGTCACAATGTTGTTCTGTTCAACACTCTCTCTGTCCCCAGTTTTTATCACTAGCCCAGTCTGCAATTTATTTAACTGCCATTGTATTTATGAGAAGTGCTTATGCCCTCCCCCTTTTCTCTTTGTACCTTCCAGCACAAATATATTCAGAACTTTCTTATTGGCACAATTTCTAAATTATTTTTTTTGTAAAGAGAATGCATGCCTCTTTAAGTAACCGTAAGCTTTGAATTGTTTGTTTATATTCATGTCATGTTTTTTTTCCATAGCACAAAAATTCTTTTGCAAGGAAACCTTTAAAATGAGTAAACTTAATGTAGTTTAATTGATGATGAAATATCGCAACAGAATTAGAGACTATGTATTTCGCAATTATGTAATGATATTTACTAGTAATTTATTATACTCGGTGTTTTCAGATTATATAATCTAACTTACTTTGATTTCTATAACTTGCTGGGTCATTTGTACAACAATGTATTCTTCACATTAGTTTATAATAAATTAAAAGGATGAAATGGAGTACTACTTGTTTTTGTTTTTTTTTGCTCATTAACTATTGGCAAATGAAGATAGAAGTCCATAAACCTTTCTAACACGGTAGTCTATGTATTACTGGAACGTTTGCCACATGCATTAAGCTGTCAGTTTGAACATTTGTGCAGTCTGGCATGGGGGCGTCCGTGGCCGAGTGGTTAAGGTCGTTGACTTCAAATCACTTGCCCCTCACCGCTGTGGGTTCGAATCCCGACAGGGACTTTGGTTTCTTTCATGTGAGGAAGCTATCCAGCTAGCTTACGGAACGTCGGTGGTTCTACTCAGGTGCCCGTTCGTGCCTGAAATATGCATCAATTTATTAAACAGTAGACATTAAACAAACTTAAGTAATTGTGGTGTTATCTCATTGCCTAATTAGTTGTATAAACACTGAGACAATGACACCACTATTAAATCAGTTGTATAAACACTGCACTTAAGCATCAACAGTTTACTAATCAGTTGTTTATTGGACCATTAAAATATTTTTTGACAACAGCCAATTTAAATACAGAAACTTCTCCATAAGTTTTGTTTATATAATAATGAATGTTAGTCACAAAATGATTAAACATGACAAATATTGAAAAAGTCCCAATGCTTCTAATTTAATTTAAATTCAATGGCCATCATACTTTTTGACATATATCGCAAAAGCACTATACTAGCATTAAATAATTTAACAATTTTTTATCCCATGTTTAAAATTAACAACAAAAAAAAACACATTATTCAAAGTTAATTGTTGTCACAAGATTGTTATGCTTTAAATTAAAATTGCCTATTGAGTCCATGTTTACAAAAGATCTGAAATGATAGAACTTAAAGTACTGAGTTTTAAGTCATTGACAAAAAAGTGAAATTCCCCTTTTTAATTTATTTTTATTAAATTTAAGGTCTATTTTATTTCAATTCAATTCAATATTTTAGGTCTATTTTAGTATATCATAAGTATCTTAAAATAATTTTGTTATAAAAAGGGAGTGAAATGTCTTCAAGACGTTTCACTCCCATTTGGGAGTGAAACGTCTTGGTGTGAACCGTCTTGGTGTGAACTGTCTCAATAGTGAAACGTCTGTCTACCCTGCAGCAAACCGCTATGTACCAGATCGTGTTGACTTGCAATGTCACATTTTTTTCCACTTGACGTCATAAATAGAGCGTTATACGAATCGCGTCTAAGAAATAGTAGCAACTACGGGTAAAGTCCGTATTTCTTGGAATGTCATATTTTGGGACCACTTTTGCCTGTACTCTATAGCATCATCACTGTGATTAGATATATTCCGAACAAAAGAAAGGAAACCCATTTATATTCATGTCTGCACTGCGACACATTTTATCCAATTAAATCGATTCTCCTGAAATTGTTAGTGTAGCCAGAACCAGGTGTCATAT